AGGGCTGATACCCATTAAAAACTTAGTTCCTGTGTGTCTCCTCAGGCTTGCTTCAGTCAGTTTGCAAAGGCTTTGTTGAGCACTAGTGTATAAACAAAGAGGGCCAGAGTGCACATTCTCCATTTTACAGAAAAGTAAGCAGTATACCGCTATTCATGAGGCAGAACTGGTTGCAATCCGCATAGTGTAAGCGATCCCTTCTTGTGTGTAACATAAGTACTCTCTAAGGCCATAGCTGATTGGTACACTGGGAAGGTTACTGGGAAATGGCAGCAACCTTTGGCTTCTATTGAGCCAAACCATTCTTTGGAACGTTTTTAATTAAGATTAACGTACCCCTAAGTGTATGTCAATGATAGCAACATAAACTGGTGTACAGTCCTGCAACCCAAAAGAAATGTTCATTATTATATTAAAATGTTGTATCTATTAGGCACTGTGTGCTTAATCCGGGACCCATGTTTCTCTTTGTAATTGCATCAAGAGTAATTGACTTGGACTCCAGAAATAGGAAGCTTGTTTCATAGCAGCACTTCTACTCAAAAAACATTTTGTATCCCTGCTGTGCTAAATAACCACACTAAAATTAAAAACACTTGTTCTTGTAATGTCAGGTAAGAGAGTGACATATACACAAGCTGCTGGTTCTGCTTATTTTTGATGGAGGTTGCCCTGTAGACATAATTTCAGCAGTAATGCATATCCAAGTGGAATTCACAGGAAATGAGAGAAATCAATATGCAACTTCAAATGTAGCCTTCAAAATCAAGCAATACCAGGAATCTTGCTCTCTGCCACAACTGGGAATGCTGTATGCATTCTCAAGTGGAATGCATGTTTTCTGTATATAATATCAAAAGGTTTCTTTTTAAATGCAAGCATCTGATCACAAACAACCTTACTGGTTTTACAAAAGTCTGTGGCCTGATTTGTACATCCTGGAGACATGACCAGCATAAATAAGACTTCCTGCAGAGAGGCCAGTCACATTTCCAGTGGAGCCATTAAGAAATCTGTTTCTCAGCAGGTGATTCTTGTTGCTCCAATAAAGACATCCACTGAGGTTTATATCTATAGGACTGTCCCCTCGCCCAGCCCAAGCTAAATAGGGAAGTGGAAATGTGACTTTCAGTGGGCAATAAAGCAAAGGGAATTTTCTTCAATAGGCACCGAGGAATTAGAGTCTTGAAAAATATTTGTTTGAGGATAGCGATCAAAGAGAGAAGCAGAGGTCAGAGAAAAAGGCAAGTGTGAAAGCTAGAGAATCAGAGGATGGGAGAAAAAGAAATTGAAAATATATGGCAAACACTGTAATGATTTTGCTTGTGGATTTCAAAGGAAGACAAGGATCAGACTTCCTCCAGTGCTGGGTCATTGATGGAAGACTTCACTCAGATTCTCCAAAGATGCATTTTCCATCTTGACAGCTAACAAATGATGGTGCAGGCTGACTCGCAAACCTCTTTTTCAATAGACTAATCTGCTACTGGGATTTTTCTGGCACCTTCTTTTTTTTAAAAAAAAAGTAGAAATTGCAAGAGAAATAGACACAATAAAAGCAGATCTCTGCTTCCTCACTTCCTTTTCATATGAATCCCTGCTTTTCCTATTCAAAACTAATTCTGGTGCTGTGTAGGGAATATATATATCCAACATAGTAAATGGGAATAGGGAAAGAAACAACTGGCTGCAGAAAGGCAGGAAAAGAGAAACTAATAGAACTGAACATTCAGTGGCAGGAGAGCATCCACACAATGGGAGGACATGAGAAAAAAATTAAAGCAATGTGATTTTTAAGGGAAAAGTCTGATTCAGATGGTTTTAATAAACCTGTATTGGTTGGTTTTGCATAACCTAAGCAGAACTAGCAGGGTATATTTCTAAATGACTAAAGAAGACTGTTAAAACCTTATGGCAAGATTAACTTTGTGTGAGTCAGATTAGCATATTGAAAAGGCATAATCATATTGCCAACAGGAGATAAAAATGTCCAGTTTTGCAGAAATCTTTGGGTTTTGCTGTACTGTGATCAGCTGCATACTATAGCCATGTTGTACTAGGAGTTTAACTGTGAAGCCACATAATATTAAATACCTTCTAGTGTCATATGTTATTGGAATATTATTTATAAAATCCTCATTTGGCTTAGCAAAGGTGATACTAGTAGAACTCTGAAGGAATGTTTCTATGCTGAGAGATCAGAATTGTCCACAAAATGCTCTAATGGTCACTGATCTGGATAGCCATACTATTAAAAAGTTCTTTAGGCTTTGATATGGCTGTTTCAAAGTGGATGGTAAATATCGGTGAGCATATGCATCTGAATGTGTGTGTATGTGCAGAATAAAAGTTAAAACACGGGTACACACACAGAAGGCAAAGGAAAACTGCTAGTACAGAACATAAGGGTTTGTGTCTATTGAGTTACTGGACTATATTAGAATTTTTATATAAAAATTCACTTTTTGGATCCTGAAAATGCTAATCACTGCTTGTTATAATTTACACATGTTCTTCAGAGCAAAACCACACTAAACTCCCAAAACCTCTTACAAGATGCCTGCACTTCCCTCGCTGACAGCTGTGTGGTCAGAACATGAGCCAACAGGGATCAACAAACTAATGAGAAAGTCTTTTGATGGAGGTGACAGAGCTGAATGCCCACATAGGCTGAAGCCTGAGGCAGGTGCCTGTTAGTCTGGGTGTACAGAAAGCATTTACTTTAAAGACAAGGCATACCATGAGCGAGCTAAATCATAAATTGCTTCAACCCTGGCTTTTGTTGCAAAACTTCTCTCCTTGCCTCCTTTCTCCTTCTCCTCTCCACTCCCCAATGTGTTGCACTTGCTTGGATGCCACGTGGATTCATGTTAGTACTTGACCAGTGGGTAGTTTAACCATATTAAGAAAGAAGTTAGATTATGACGGGAATGGTGACTTTGTCCAATTGTAATTAACAGGCTAGCTGCTTCCATACTTGTGATTCACATTGAACATCACAAATGCTGTTCTGTACAAAAAAGAGTGTGAAGAACATAATCAGTATGGGTAGGATTTTGAACAGACCTGTGGGTCCAACTTTTTGGGGCTTTGACCCACTTATTCACTGGTTAGACTAATTGAAATAAACAAGAGGAATACTAAACTACAACTGTTAGGATAATGGGTAACATTACATATCGAAATTACACAGATCACAGTTTTGCTTTCTTATTAGATCTACTTGTTCATCCACACAGCTCAGGTAGGGTGCTCTTTGCCAGGGTTGTATTGTATCACTTTGTTGTACTTATTTGGGATCATGCTCAATAATTCCTCAGGGGAATCTTTCAGTCACCACCTTGCTTGCATAAATATGTGGCTTGAATGTTGACCATTCTTTCTTGTCCAGTTAATTTTATTGTTGTTCAGAGCAGAAATTCAGGCAAATGTCAAAGACATAAAAACATTTCCAAATAAGCTAATCAGTGAGTATTGTTCAGGGTCTGCTGGTTTCCTTCAGCAATGCAGCGAAGTGAAGTCTTTCACAGACAGAGGACTACTCCTAGAAAACAAAGAGGAAGACTTTGCTTTGTGACTGGGTGGGGACAAAAATCCCCAGCTGACATATTGCAACATGTATTTCTATAATGCTGAGGAGGGAGGTCTAGTTCATTTTCTTCTTGTGTACTACAATTCCTCCCTGCTGACTGCTCCATTATTTGTAGCATGTTGCTAGTAAACATATCAAGCATCGCACTGGGGCTACATCTGACAGTAACAATACTCTTAGTTTTGTGTAAACTTTAAAAGTTAATTGTGGAGTTTTTCAATATTTCTTCTCTGAGAGTGTGGTTTTAGTTTCTTGGCTACATACTCAATTGCATTGTATTGTTTCATGGGAACAAGAAAAGGATGTAATTGAATAAATAGTCTTAGACTAAGGTTTATGTCCATCAGTATATATTTAAAATTATATGGTTATAGTAGGCCTGTACCTGTGTAGGGGGGTCCACCAGTGCTCACCCCCTGCCTGCCCTTCCAGCCAGCTGCCACCATCCTCTAGCAAGGAAAATGGAAAAGCTCAAGAAGAGGGATAGAGCACACACTGGTATCTATTTTCCATTCTTGTGTCTTCTTCAGCAGCCTAATTAATTTATGTATACATGAGTTTCTTTAAATTCTAGCCCTGGGGGAAGGAAATTTAGGATTAATCTTCATAAAGAAAGAGCTTCCCTGTGTCTAAGAGCTCCCAGTGTAACCTTCCAGGATGTCACCTGTGCAGAGAATGGGCTCTTCCAGTGACTCCCCCAGCACAGCATGTGGAGTGCTGGCATCACCAACCACCTTCTCCTTCATTCAGTGTCTAATTTAGGGTGCCTTGCAGCTGCAGCCCAGAACTGACTCTCTGCCCACTTCTGTGCTGACAGAAGGGCAGGGCGATGCAGAAAGCCAATGTCCTTCAGAAACACCCTTGGATTTCTCTCTTAGTTCAGCTGTTCTGGACCCCCTAAACCAGAGGGCACGAAAGCCACCCAGAACTCACATCAGGAGGGTTACTTACTGCTGTCTTTAAGAGCATTGATGCAGCTGAAAATCTGTCCCTTCCCCCTTAATCTTACCTCCCCCTTTCTTTACTGATTCAGTGTTAGTGAATCAAAATGCCAGGCAGAATATTCAGCAGCTAATAGGTGAGAGGATCAGCTAAATAAAATAACTAGGATCAGTGGGAGCAAGCTAACCTTATTATGTGAGGAGACATGTGAGTAGATGTATTAGTAGACAAAGTTATGTTTGGTTTTGGATTAGGTGTACTGCCCTGAACTCACTGCAGTCATTTAGGTGGAAAATGGTATAGAATTTAAAAACCAGGCTGGTGGCAGGAGGGACATTTTGTTTCCTCCCAGGACAAACTAGAAAATTCGCATGTACCTTCCTATATCCAGCTTCTTTTCTGTGACTGGGAAAGTAGCCAAATGAAGATGTTTTCATGACAAGTAAAACAAAAAAGTGGCGACTACCTATGTTTCAACAGATGCCTGCGGATACCAATGGAGATCAATCAGCAGAAATTACCTGTTCAAAGAAAATCATAAATTAATGATTTTATCATAAAATAATGATAATTAAAATAGATAATTCTGCTGGATGCCTGTCATCCTCGATTAGAAGATTACACTCCTCAAGATGTCACAGCTGAAAAGTGGGAGTCAGCCACACAAAAAGCCTTATTTCATTATGTAACTGAACACCTTTGGATATATTTGATGGATAAATAAAAAGGCAATGATCTCATGAATCTCCATTTGGAATAAGTATGTATTTCAACAATTAAACTGAAGGAATAAAAAAGTTGCATAGATTGTTACTAATATGACTGGTGAAATGATGAATGTCTGAAAGAGGAAAAAAGAGCTGCTTTTCCCATGGATAGACATCACTAGTTCTGCTCTCCCAGAAAGGCTATTTACTTTCAAACAGGGCCTTCCTGCATTCGATCTCCTACATCAGTCAAGATAAAGACCAGAGTGTATAAGCTTTTTCCCTCAACAGTCTCTGAAACAGCTTGGGATCTCTAGACAATAATGTGCATAGGGTCCAGTGGAGATGTCCAACAGATGGCTTGGGAGACTTCAAGCCAGTTCCCAAAAGCAATTTAGGAATTAAGGAGCTGGTGGGATGTGGATTTACTTGGGAAATGGAATTTTACATCTCCTGAATTACCACACTGCTTCCAAATGTTTGCCTCAAACCTAGTTCTGTCAAGGATACAGGGTGAGCTAAAAAGCATTCAGTTTAATTGTGTAGGTGTAAACCCATTTTCAGTTTGTACAGCTATTTAGTTTTCCAGGCAAGGTGCTATATGTTTGACTGGTTTTGTAGGTAGAGCTTATGGATGGGAAGTACAGTACAGTATTTTGAGGTCAGAACTGCTGAACCAGATAAGCAGAAGGACTTAGTGACAGATAAAGCCTGTAAAGACACTGCGAAGGAAGCTAATTTGGCAAAGATACAGAGAGGTTTTAGAAGAAAATCTGCAGAGATGGAACTTTCAGGCTGATCTGAAAATGCATCATCTGGAGCCCAGATTACTTTTATTTGGAATTTCATTTCCATGCACAAAGCTAGGAACAACAGAATACTGGAAGAGGACATTAAAAAGTGAACTCTGAGGAAGCAAAGTTAGGATCCATCCAAACCAAAGTGAAATAGTTAAACAAAAAAGCTGACAGAAGTTAGCTGTCTTTGAGCTAGGGAAAAAGTAAATGCTACTCACAGCTACTTAATACGGATAAAAAGAAATCTCCTAGAGAGATATTTTAGAAAAGGATCTTTCTGTCCCAGAAAGTGTGTGATTTATCACTGAACTGGAACAGTCACACTAACAACTCAAACAGTTTTCACAAAATACCTCAGTGGGAAGATGCTCTGAGAAAGAACACGCACAGGAGGGACACAACAATGACAGCAACAATGTCCATGCACCATGGTATCAAAGTTTTATAGCAAAAATGCAGAAAGAAAATCTGAGTTGAAAAGAGTCTCTGTTACAAGAGATGCTTCTAAAACCATGGGCTTATAAATGAGTGCGGACCCAGGAACAAGGATGAGGACAGCCCCCCCCCCCCCCCCCCCCCCGGTGGGGAGCAGTACCATGCCAGAGGCATCCACAGAAACATTACCAAGGTCAGCACACAGACAAACCTGCTTGGAAATACCAAGTGTATAAGATGCAACACTACCAAGTTGCTGAATATCCCAGCCAGGGGAAAGATGCTGAGGACACACTGCTGGAGAGTTGTGGCTACTCCTAAGAGAAACAGGCAGCTTGTGTTAGGCTGTTACTCTGGGAATGCCTGAGGGAGTGCTGCTGCTGCTGGGGATGGAAAGTGAGCCCTGAGTTCATATACCAGAAGCTACACAGGTCAGTGATCAGATGGCTTCTCTGCAGCACTGTCTGGCTTAACTTCTCATCCTGGAAAGGAAGCATTTTCATTTTGAGCAGAATTTGTGCCTACAGCCTTAGTTATTGAACTCACATTATAAAACGATGGTCTGGAGGCCAGAAGGATAGGTAGCCTGAAGTATTACCAGTAAGAAGCTTCCCTGAATCGCACTAAGCACATCTTTCTGTAAATTATTAAGCATTAAAGAAACAAAACCACTCACTTTCATCATCCATTTTTCCACTACACTGAGCCTAGGCAATAAAAATCAGTGGAAGGAGTTTTCACTTTCCACTACTGCAGATTATACCATATTTGTTTGAAACCAGCTACCTCTCGTTCATGTTTACCCATAAGCCCATTTACACAGTATAAAACAGCCTTAAAGAGTGTCATTTACATTCACACACACTTCAATGGCTCTTTATTTTGCCTGAGTACCAAACAGAGCCACAGCAGCCTCCATGAAAGTGGAAATTGGGCATGGTTCCTCTAACAATGAACTTTATTTGGGCAGATCTGCACCCAGCATCATGAAGGGGAAGGGCACTTGGGCAGCTGAGGATGAGAAGTAATGTATAAAGCATTGCCCATGAGGCTGTGTCCTTTAGCACACACCTGTCCTTCCCTCTTTCCTCTCCTTCTGGTACATCTGTTGCAGCACAGAGCTCTCATCTCTAAATAAGAGAGAGGCAGCAAAAATGATTTGATCATGATTTCATGTGATTCCCTGGGTAGGTAAAAATAAAGTTGCTAAACTGGTGACCATGCATGAATCTCACAGAAGTGACAGCACCAACTCCTCTGTGCTTTTCTTTTATAGCAGTGCTAAAAATAGCAAATAGGATGTTGGCCTGAGATTTTATAAGACTGACTGTGTTTCCTGATGACAAAGAAATAACCTGGCAACATTCATGCCAGTGCCAGAGAAGAATATGGCATGGAATAAATTACATCAGGAACAACCAGAAATGAGAAGAACCTTTTCACCAAAATCTGAGGAGAAGATTTCACTGGGGAGAGCAGAAGACTGATGGGTCTCAGGGTGGTTAGTGTGAGGCTAGGACCAGGAGCAGATGGTATGCAATCAATATCACATGCTGAGAGAAGGCATGGCCCCTTCTTCCCTCCTATATGCAAGAGCTAAGTTATTTTGTTATGAATTCTAAATAGGATATCCAAGAGACTTCTCTGGTTTCAATGTCAATAATAGTGCTCAGATAGCACTAATGATCACCTCTTGCTGTTCCCCCACATTACTCCAAACATATCTCCAGATTTCTTCCCTTTTGATTTCACTTTAGGATCAAAATCTCTGCATTTGTCATTAAACAGAATTATCAGACTGTGGCCAGTGCTAGTGAGAAGGAAAATGTGGTGAACAAGAGATTTCTGTAACCTCAATGTACAATTATTTTTCGAAGCACACTTTTGTGTGTAAGGATTGAGGGAGGGTGGAAGAAATGCAGTCAAGAAAGAAAGGGCTCCTCTCTAATCAGAATCATGTCTCTGCACCCTTTTTGTCTTCAGAAGAGTCTCACAAGACTGGCTGGGAGAAAACCTGACCCAAGCAGACTTTCAATCAAGTTAAAACTGCTACCAGAAGTGCCTAATAAATCGATCATGCAAAAGCACTTCACAATTGCTATTGCTTTTCTAGCCCACAGTCATGAGTAATCCCTCGTTTCCTTCCTTCTTTCTTCCACAGGATATTACAAGGCAGAACAGATTGCCAAGAGAGCAAATGAAGGGATGGCACCACAAGCAGCTGTCAAGTTTGGATTCCTTAGATAGGAACAGTCTGATCAGCAGCAAAACCCAAGGAAATATTTGGTTTTGAAGAATTTTCTCAAGCACCATGGGGAACAGAGAACAGGAGAGGGAGAGCAGCAAAAGATTATTTTGCTGCCTGTTTAATTTTGCTCTATGTAGCCATCTATATAATTGCAGAATACAAGTTGCTCTGTGTCCATTATATAAAGGAGATGCCCAGTATGATAAAAATGAAACGGAAATTTACCAAATGCTCAAAGGATATAGCTCACATTGAGAAGAATACTATGTCATTACAAAGCCATGAGTATCTTTTATAGTTTGAATGCACAGCTAACTGAAAAGGACAATTATTGCCAGGCCAGATGAAAGCAGGTGAATGTAAAGACTCAATTAACCTCTTCATTATGGAAATTTTGCCACTTGGTTCAGGACTGGACTTCCTAATTTATTTGGGCAAGCTTCATCTATATGATTTGTTCAGTCCTTTCAGTTTTTACCTTTGATATCTCTTTTGTATTTCTAAAGGGTCTCAAGGGATTAGTGCCTAAGGTCTTGGTGGTCATGTACACAGTTAAATACAGACAGAAGAGACACTTTCAGTGATCTTTCTAGCAGCAGTATAAGTTGTTTCAATGCTTGTATGACACTAAGGGTGTGGAGTGGCAATCTTCCAGTTTTTGCAGGAGCTGGCAGCTAGTATTGGTCCTTAATGGAACAGCAACATATTTCTCTTTCAGATTTGCAGTTTCTAAATGTCACTCTTTTATTGTTGATTTATAGAGACCTTTTCTTCTCAGACCCAACCAGAGCAATATATATACATGAAATAGATATTATAAACTCCAAAATAATGCTTTTTGCCCTTGATTGAAAAAAAAGTATGGTAAAGCTTTGTAATTTTTGTCTCCTTGAAGCCATTTTATAAAGTAAATCAAATGGCTGGATGCCTCTGAAAGGGAAGTCTAATTTTATGTAGAACATAGCACAGTGCACTGAAGAATAAAGATGAATGGCTGCTAATTTACAGACACTCTTGACCATATATTTAACTTCTGTAAAAGATTGTCGTCTCCCTGTCTATTTTGAAAAATTTGAATGACTAATGCACCTGTACTGTTTACTGAGAGGTATACTTCAGATTTGTCTTCTAATATTTTACTTGAACACCCTGATGACCCCAAAACCTACATGAAATGGGGAAAAAATAATAATCTAATAATAACAGTACCACAAATGAGACTTTAATTGGACAGAGCCAGGAAGGACAGTCAGTAACTCAGCAGTCTTACCCCTGTTATTTCCCTTGAAGGAAGAGATAGTATTCGATGGTCACTTTTGCCTCACAGCCTGAATCCCAGGGAATTACAGATATTTTGTCAGTCCACCAAGTCATAGTAGCCTTCTGTGTCACTAACAATGCAAATGTTGCACATACAGATGATGACTGCATCTCCATGCCTCTCTGCCCTGATTCGGTTGGCACTGACTTCCCTGGAGCCACACCAGTTTCAGGCTGTGCTGTAGCTATAGCATGTTCCTCCATCTTAGCAGAGTCATGCATCCTTTCCTGGACCACATTTTAGATAGGCTTTTGATCTCAGCAATTGCAGGCATCCTGTAGGCCTCCCTCCAGCAAATTTATCTGCATAAAAAGATATTTTGCATGATTGCCTGGACAATACCATCATAGGTGAAGCATCTGCAACATAGCCTTTGGTACAGACTCCAAAACCTTTGAAACCAGCAGGCCAGAACATCTCAAAGCATGCCCCTTTGGCCAGACATGCCTTTTCAGGAAAGCAGGTTCACAGGGAGTGATGGTGTAAATGTACTTATATCATCTGCTGGAAAGGTTAAACAACACTGACAAAGGTCATAACATCGGGGAGTAAGTGGCCTCAACTGTTGCTCTGTCCTACAGCTTCAGCTAGTGTTATCCCTCTCATGATAAGACCTTGTACTCTTCGTTTGTGCCTGACCCACATAACACAATGTTGAACACCATTTCTACTTTCTACAGAAAATCTATATCAAATGACCGAAATCTGGGGCTTTTATCAAGTGTTTATATGGTAAATACACAAAGTATTATATGAAGCTTAAATACAGTGTATTAAATCACTTTGTAAAGCCAGAAAAAAAATAATTTACAAGTATTATTGTATTACAAGTATTATTTTAGACACAATTCAGAGAATTGAAAATTCTCAGATAAAGTGTTATTGACGTTTCAGAATAAAGTATTATGAATTAAAGGAAGCAGAATGGCTGCCGAGAGGCCTAAAGATGGTTAATTTAGATGCAGAGCTTAGTCTGAGTACAAGGTTGAATTTAAAGATGTAAACAGTTAATTGCCAGTGTGACATATAATAAATTGATATGATATTTTAACATGTACTTTTGGATAATAAGAATGATTTCAGAGAAGCAGCTATACAGAACAGCAGTGAAAGTCTTTCCACCCTGGTGCACTACAATGTTACTATTTCCTGCAGTTTCTTGATGAGGTTGAACTGCATTATCCACAGTAACTATTTATGTGTGTTTGATTAAATTTATAAATAGATTGTCAGAAAATAAAGTTACAGGAAATAACGGGGAAAATAAGAATGAAAAAACTAAAGATACATTGTCATGGGTAAAGTAAAAATAAAAGTGAAACCAAAGAATTGGTAAAACTCTTCCTCAGAGGCACATGATTAACATTTCTCTTTCTAAATGACTGCTAAGTAAAAGGCCCAAGTGTTGGGTTTACCCTGTCAGATTTTTTTTCTCTGTATTCTGGTTAGTTGTAATATTAGTAATCATACTTAATCTGTCAATAGCAATGTAATAAGTGTGCTTTTTCCAGTGGGAGCCCCTAACCCTAGTTAGCTTTTGTAGTAATGTGGCCACCCGGCAACATGAGCACTGACATGACTGCTGTACCATGGCAATCACAAAGGCCTGCTAAGAACTGATAAAAAATTGCTCCATCCCCAGTTCTTGCACAAAATTATTTACTATCTGTGTGGTTTTCAAGTAGGACAACGAGACAGGAAGTCCTGAAACTTCTCCAAGAGGTAAGATGTGGCTGTGTGAAGAACTGAGAGAAATTAAATTAAACAAAAGGAAAGTCAGCAACTAAGATTGTCAGAAGCAGATTAGATCAGATGCTTTTGTTTTAGTGAGAAAAAGGTTAAGATTGTTTGTTTCCCATGTTCAATGTTTTTCTTTTTTGTCCTTGCATAATTATTTCTCATGTCAAATGGCCAAACCAGGAAAGCCTAATCCATAACTGAAAAGGAAACCCCAGAAAACATGCTTTGTTTCAAGAAGGAAAAAATAATTGAAATTTTGAACTGATGATTTTTAGAATGACTGTGTCTGCTATTGATTTAATTTCTCCTCTTTTTTTTATATTGATGAAAATCTAGAGGGGATGCCTCAGAGGGATAAAGAAGACCCATTCTCAGAGCTGAGGTCTGGTAGCTGACAGGAACTCTGAAGGTGCAAATGCCTTTACATAGCACAAGGAGGATTCAGGGTTATCACAAGATGACTCAACCTGGTTGAAGAGCACTTTACTGGTGCATGCACTTTCCACACATGCCATAAAATTTCATGGCAGTGCATTAACCTGCTGGTTTGGAGCCTTCTATTCCCAATGAGGTCTTGGTGTTCTTTAGGTGGACATCTGGAGCAGATCTTCATCCAAAAGAAATTCAGATTCTGTATATTGACAGCTCACTGTAATGCACACCAACACACAGTAAATGGGGACAGCTGGGGAACTTACTCCACTACTGCTCTGAACTAAAGTACAAATGTAGACACACTTTAACAACTTCACTGAGGTCTGGTCACATCTTGTCATGCAATTTCTGTGGGAGCTTGTTCTGGAGCCTTCATTAGGAGACAAACCACAAATACAGCATTTATGATCAGGTTTGGGTGATATCCTATGTTGCAATTTTTTCTCACCTGCTCTAACAATGTAAAAAGTACCTGCTTTAAGTAGTTGTAATGCTTTCAGAAGGCGTTCGGTCAGCGGTGCTAGAGTCTGGGTTTTCCTACATCTCAGGAAGGTTTGCACAATACACAAGTTACTGATAAGTCCTTTAAGATGAAAGGATCACTTCTTAAAGGGATAATTCACATTTCTGGTGCATCAAATTATGACTTGTCAATATCGCACAAGAACAAGTATAATATATCATGAGGATCTTACTATAAAATTTTGTCTATTTGGGAAATAAAGGCATACATTATTTGTGGTTTAGATAAACTACTGAAAAGCTACCAGATTAAAATTACTTTTTGTCCCATACAATTGACTGCTACTGATGACCTAGGTGAGGCAGCTTCTAGATACCAAGCTCTTTGCCATCTGGTCTTTCAGAAGAGCAAAAACCCTGTATTTGCTTTGAAAGCAGCTCTGCCATATGGCAGCAACAGCACCTATTTGAATTCTCAAGGCTGAAGTATACCCTTTAGTTTTCATGAGAATTCTTGAAACTTCCTTGCAGAAATCTGGCATTGGAATAACATCCAAGCTGCCCATCTGAATGTGAGCCACAGGTTTTTTTTCAGTATTCTGATCCCCCTCTAACAGATACTTTCTTCATATTCATTTGCCAAACATGCATAAGATTACATGTCCTCATGAATATATTTGCCCTTTAAGTTGCTGAACACTGTGCATGTTCAGCAACTAATGCTGCATGATTCCTTTGTAAAGTGCTTTGATTTGGCCTGCAGTCAAAGCACCTGAATTACTTCTAACATCTCGGCTTGACAAGAAGATGTAATTGTATTAGTTTCTCAGTTTTTGAGAAAACACTTTAATTTAGGTCCAAATAATACTCAAATTTCAAGCAGCTAAATTCCCAGCTGAGACCTCCTGTATCATCCTGAGGATTAATTTTAGACAGAATGTCAGCTACTAATCAACACTAAGGATCCAATTACTTGTAATTTTTCCAGACTGCTAAATGAATTGTTGCTTGATGAACTGCCTCAAAAATATATTCGAATATGGTACTGTAAATTGTCTATAACGCCTCTAACAAAAGTTCACTTCTCTTTCTGCAGAGGCGTAATCAAAGCCAAAATTATGCGAGAGTGAAGTAAAGAGACAAAGTGCAGTAAATGTCACTGGCAACTAGTGGCTTTAAAGAAGGCATCTTCAAACACCTTGTAAGACACAGTGTTTACCTTTGATGTCTCTTGCTGGGCTTCTAACCTTTTTGTGCAGAATCTGGGACCAGGTGGCTCTTGGAAGTGCAGAACAAACTCTACTCCTGTTGTGAGGAAAGAGGATCTATACCATGTCTAGTGAGCTTTCTCCTCACTGTGACATTTAAAATACTAGAAACACAAGGGAATTCCTTTTGTCCCAAGTCACATTTCAATGGTATGCTCAGCTGCTTTGATGGAGGTGCCAGAGAGAAGCAGGCCAAAATTTGAGTACCACTTTCCCTCAGAGACAGCAGGTGCCATGCCAGGGATAGACAGAGGGAAGGAGAGCAACAAAGGTATGTGCACAATGCCTGGAGGTAATGTCTCTTTGAGGAGCCTGGACCTACCAAAGGCAGATCTCATGAGCCCAGGTGTGACGAGGCCTCCAGCCTCTCCAACACAGCAGCTGTTTTCAGCCTAGAATTTCTGAGATAAAATAATTTGTCAGCATGGGTCATCCCAAGCCACTCATCACCAGCTATGCCTGAAACGTTGCCCATTTCTTTTTACTTAGATAGTGGTTTAGACACAAAATCGGCCAAACTTTACACTTGTACCCTGACAACAGCTGTGGTCTGTAGAAAGGGTTTATTTTCTGATAAAAGATCACAAGTTTTCTGCAGCCATCACTGTTTTTCCTAACCCACAGAATTCAGTTACCAATTCTAAATGGCAGTACATATCATTCCAGAGCTAAAGGTAAATTGTCGTTAAAGCAGAAGACTTTAAAGACATTTTTCTCTTAGGGCTGGATCTTTCCAGTGACACAAGTCATTATCAGTACAGGTGACTGCAGTTGTGCAAATTTATCTGTTTTTTTTCCCTCTCCTTTCTTTTCTGCATCTCATTGAGAGCATGTTAAGTCCTGTAAGAAGGCTGTGGTTTACTTTTAGGAGAGAAGGCAAGAGGCTCCAGGGCCTTGGTATGCTTGAATTAACCTGGCCTAATAAGCTGTCTGAATCTACCTGTTTTTAATTGCCCAGCCAGCTAAAACACCCCTCTTTGATCATACAGATATATTTTGTCAGCTTTGATTTTTCTTTTCTCCCCTTCTCACCTATCAGTCTGTCACCAGCTGCTGTCATCTGTGAAATGCCAGTGCAACAAGTTGCAGTCGTGGTTTACTGTCACGGTCTGGTAGCATCCACTCTCAAAAAAAAAAATAAGCAAGCAGATGCACAGGCCCAGAACTGCAATGTTAGCTGACATAAAACTTCATGTGGTGAAAGAGCATAACCAAATAAACCTTGGTTATAGGAATGCTCTGGCGGGGACGGTTGTGTGGTTAACAATGTAGAAACAACCATCATGGATCAGCCCACTCTCCTCCAAATGTGGCCAGCAACAGATGAAGAATAAAACTAGACAGATGGAGGAGAGATTTCCTCAGAAATATTTCCCTAGTTCACCAAGTTTGCAGCTTGGTAATTCCCAAGACCAGAGAAGATGCTTTTTGAATTTAATGGCCCTTGACAATTTTTTCTTCTATGTATTTGTCCAGTTGTTTCCATAGCCATATAACTTAGCACCCTCAGTGCCCTGTGTCTCCAAAATCAGATTACTTGTTCACCATTTCCATTACTAAGGAATCTGTAAAGTCCCAGTTCTCTTCATGGAAGAGCCGAGGACTTCACCCTTTCCTTCCAGATGGAGCTCAACCCCAAAACCTCAAGCCTTCAGCTGATACAAGATTTTTCTGAGTGTAATGAAATTCACAAAGTACTTTAAGCGTGAACTTTTTCTCTAAACATATTTAACAAGGGAACTGGGGCTGGTGTCAAAGTTACTTCTTACTGAAGGATCAACTACTGTTTAATCTTCACATCAGTTTTTGCTACTGAGACTTTATTCTAGACTCTAATCTTTCCATACCTCACGTTATATATGAAATAAATATAATGAAAATTACTTTTTGCTCTGTGTCATATCTACTTGCACGCTTCTCATTTTACATGCGCAGTCACGCCTGCATCCTCTGCTAAAAACTGGAATTCCGTACTATAAAGTAACAATGTGGCTGTTATAGAGTTACAAACACTGGTTGCCATTATACATTTTACCAAGAGGCCAATTTGTCCCTCCACTCTCAAGCTATTGATACATCCTGGTAAAGGGCCTGACACGACCATATAACCCAAAAGGTGCCTCTTCCTATAGCCTAAAGAGACGCTTCTCCAGCTGGGGTGGGCATGAAGTCTTTGAATTTGCTGTCGTACTATTATAGATGATTATATATATAGTTATATAGGATATGTACATATGTCTTTAAGACATGTAGAGATATATGAGGAGATACATATAGCTATTGTAGATAGATTAAGACAACATCTGGATGACTTTAGAACCACAGAAAAATCTATTCTGGGCATGCAATGGGGAAGCCTGCACTTGAGTGTTCCCACCACCTACAGCCTCCAGCATCGAGCATGCACTTGTCCGAGAAGCTTAGAAGGCTGAAGCAAATTTATTGCTCCCAGTAACTGCTTCTGGCACAGCACATCTGGTTGGATCTCACTTTCATAGTACATGCATCTTAATGAAAGTTATGGAGAAAGACCAAGGTAAAAAAAAATCATTGTTTCACCTATATCTGAACACAGAATTGTAATTTGCCTTTACAATGCTGTTCAACTGGTAACTTTTTCTTGGATATCGTAACATATAGGATGTTTTATGAATACACAGAAAAGTTATTCATTCTCTTTCCCGTATGAGGCAACAGTAACTATTTATACAGCTGCAGAGCTGTCTGGGGTTTAATTTCCCTAATACAGTTTCAATATGAACTTCCAATGCAATCTAAGCACACCACTAATAATAAAATCTTATTTACTTGTGGTATCAACTACACTATAATTTTGCTAAATGATTTTTCTTAATTGTCTAGCTTTTTTCCATGAGTGCTGTCAATCTGCTTCCAGATCTTCATTTAGCTTCAGCAGTAGTCCACCCTCTCATCCAAATGCAATGCTGGAATGCACCCGAGAACCATCATACCCCATAGAAAATGTTTAAATATATGCAAAAAAAGGATTTTGAGTATTTTTAAATCAAAATGTCTTTAGTTAAGTGTTTACAATTTACTAACAATTAGGCTTGTAACTGTTTCAAACAAGCCTGCAATCACTTTATGGCGGCATGTAACAGGAACCGATTAGAAGACACATCCTGGCTTGAAGAAGTTGTCATTTAAATACATCAAGCAATCAAAAGTGGCAGAGGCAAACAGCACCGCAAGCTGAAATCTCTTGTTAATGATAAATTAGCGGCAGAGGCAAGACAATAGTCAAGGTCTCCAGGGCCTCACTGTTTCTTGATCACTTTGCTCCATCTTGCACATGTACATTTTGGCCCTAGCCACGCGGTCTTTCTTTCCAGTGAACAAACAACATTTGCTTCACTTCCAGCAACAAACTTATATTTAATCAACCAGTTTATTAAAGCATGAAGGAAAACTGGTCATGACTTCAGATGCTTTACTGCTGGAATTAACAAGCTGGCTGTTGCCAGCACTAAACTTGGAAGTGCTAATGGTAATTAAAACGTATTTTCAAGTAAATCTGACAGTTTTAAGGTGGAGAAGTATTTGTTACTCATGTGAGTTTCCAGACTGTGTATTAAAAAATAAGTGCTACTTTCTTCAGGAAGATGTCAGCTGTGAGAAAGAAATAATTACTAATGAATTATTAATGATGTGTGATACAGAATTTTTTCTCCTACAGTGAGTTTATGGCTGTATGTGTCCTCCAAACTCTTTGCATAAGAGAAGCTTGAAACTAGAATTTAACTGTATTTTGTTAACTTTTTAATTGTTTTACTGTTGTTATGCAGAAGGATACGGCAAAATAGTGTTGACATAAACTATCAGGAAATTTATTATCATTTCACAAAACCCCATGTAGCCCATTCAGTGAATTTCCCCCCAGGTGCTTTTGTGTAAAACACCTTACATTAACAAAGTCCTCTAACACTAGCTCAAATGGGACTTCTCCAAAACGTAATCTTCTTAGTTTTTCAACATATTCACATTACACAGTGTGAAAAAATAAAGGAAGGATAAATATGCTTTGTTTTGCACTTCATTTTCTAATCCTGCTTCCTGGCTAATTCAATCTACTGGATCACTGGCAGGGACATGGGATAGGTTAAAAAAATGTCAACTGCCAGATCACCAAGGGACTTGAATTAATGTTCTTTTGCGCAGAATGGAAGCATATGAACCAGAGTGCAGCTCTACTTGGAAAATTACCGTCAAACAGTACCATCTCTATTAACACAGCTGCTGACTTGTGCAGAAATCAGATTTTACTTGAGTTAACCTTCAAAAAACAGTGTCAGAGTGACTGCTAACTAATATTCTCTTGCTACACCAACAGTGTTTCCTATTAACAGCTGATGCAGGTCACACCTGTAGAACTCCACAAGTGTTACTTGTAAGAACCCATAGACGCCCTTACAATAATGTGAAGAAAGCAAGGTCATATTCATTCAACTTGACAACTGCTATCAAGATTCCATTTTCTTCCTGTAAAAAGGGAAAGCACACTTGATAAAATACCCTTCATATAAATAATACAGGTTTCACAGTATGGGCTTCTGCTTAGTTTGTCTTCATTACAGTTCCTTTCCAAGGCTGGAGTTCTGTCTTCATGTATAATCAGACATTTCCTTCAAATACTTCTTCCACAGATGTTCTAGCTTGCTTCCCTATCAACTTCGACAGGAAACGGCGAGGATCTCTTACCAATCATTTCTTTAAGTGCAAGCTATATAATGCTTTATTTGAAGAGAATGCTAAAGGCTTGAAGTTATACTCTACGAGTAAGAGGCTGAAGCTAAAGCTTTATCTAGGCATTATGTAAGAATGCCTCCAATAAGCAACTTTTGCTTCTGCAGCCCATGCCTGCCTCAGCAGGTGCCAGAAAGGAGTGATGACGAATTCTGCTGAAACAAGATACTATTGACTTACACCATTAAAAACCTACAAATTTTTGTCATCTTTGCTCATTTCTTTCATCCAGCTTTTTATGAGTCACTGAATTATTTCTAAATCCCAAACATAACTGAGTGACTAGCTCACTTACAAAACAACGGTGAAAAGAAGGACTCATACTGGATTATTAAATTGATGACTGTAAATCTGTTTACATAGAAACCTTTTAATAACTTATTTATGCATGACTTTCTCAAATCATTGCTAAAGGGCAGGCATTGACCTGCAAACGGAAGGTACTCTACAGTCCCTGTTGCCAGAGCACTTGCCTTCTGAAGGCCTCAAAAAGATTTAGCTTTTAGCTACTACTAATGATTTGAGAATGAATTTGTCATAGGAAATTATTTGTTACTTAAAACCCATTGCAATTCTGTCATGGACACACTAACTCAAAATGCTGCCTTATTTTTTTTTAAGGTTTATAGCTGGAAATGCCTTTTGGCTTCATGTGGTTTCTTTCCTGACAGGAGGAAAAAATGGGGAAGTCGGAAGGTCTGCAAATGGCATAAGTAGGTCTGTTAAAGGGGTATGAATCTGCTTTGGAGAAAGAAAATATGCTCTTTCAACAGAAGAATACATAATGGGTAATAGATCACTTGTGAGGGAAAACGAGCTATTGGCTGCATGTTGGGATGGGGTAGAGGTATCGGCACAGAGGAGCCTCTTCAATCTTCTGGTGAAACACTACCTGGGCATGGCAAACTCTATATGGGAAAATATATGTCCCACACGGGACACTTTCTCTTGACACCTTGATAACACATACAAAATGTTTTGATGATCAATATAAAAATACACACTAAACTGTCTGTGGAAGCAACCTCTGCCAATAGTCTTTAGACTGATAAATATCTTGTGGAAGATGCAAACAAACTGGTGTTAGAAGTCTTTCTTCCTTCATAAAATCCAAGAGAAGAAAATCAGTGTTCCATGTGTAAGACCTGCTCAAAGAAACAAGGCAGTGGCCTATTTTCTAGATATGTGATATAAGACAGGTATTTGGAAAAATCTGCCTCTATGGCAAGGGGAATAAATCTGTAAAAAAAAATCCAAGCAAAAAATTAAAGGTTTCAAGGAGTTAATGATTTGTATGAAATAACCACTTTCCTACTTCATTGAAGAAACACCAGTTACAGGCCACAAACATCGTACAGCTAAAATGTTACTGTGAAAAGAAAACATAAAACCCAGTGTACATATTCAGTGACTGCCTTATATTAATTCATTAGCTTAACCCTTGTAGAAAACCCCACTGACTTACTGGAATGTACAAGACTATAAGGGGACGTTGAAGTTTGACAGTCTTCTGTGTCTTCCTAGACAGAAGTCACAGTCCTCAACAAGTAACAATGAGAAAAAGTGCACCAGGGAGTAAGAAGTTTAGGGCTGTCCCATGAGGAGGCACAAGCAGGAGCTGTGGTGACCCCAGCACATGCCATACCCTCACTGACCATGGCACAGTCACACTTTGTCTTGAGATGGCAGATGAAGATGGGATGCTGGTAACAGATTCCACCCACAGCCTCAGGCATATGAAGTAAGTGATGAACTGGTCCAGGGTCCTTTCAGTGAGTCTTGTCAGGAGCAGCACGAGACAGGGCTGAAGACAGTGCTGGAGAGGTTACAATGTAGTTTAAAAGTCCACATGAGAGACAGGTACCCCTGCAGTCACTGCTCAGGGGAGAAAAGGGGTTCCTCAGGGCAATTAAGAGCAATCAGTGGCCCTGATACAGTATCACTTACATACAACGTGTTTTAGTACAATGTACACACATTGATACTAAACAAAGTGCTGGTGGTATGAAAAGCCTGATCAAGGCCAGTAGAGCTGTTTCTGGATTTTGGCCTGTTACCGCTGTTTGAGTTTCTTGGTGACGTGTGCTTCTTTTTGATAATGTGAAATAATCTGAACAATTATGAAGCTATTAATAAGCAGGAAAAGTAAGCCTGCCAACCATATAAGTAAAAAAGTGTTATAGCCTTTGAACTCCAGAAAATACGCAGGAGCAAGCCACAGGCCCTGTCCAACAAGCCAGAGGAAGAGAAGCAGCACACTACGATGCCAGGACATCTTAACACTAGGCATTATGAGGGGCAAAAGGCAGAGATACCAGACAAAGTACTGGGATGTGCACACTTTGTTGAAAGTCACAAAAACTGCAGTGTGAAGGAAACAACAGAAGGCAAGGTCTCTGTAAAATGCTATGGACGCAACCAGGAGCAAAAGCAGCTGAGGCAGGAAAGCTGCAAGCCCAAGGGCAAAACTCCATTTGCTCTCTGCAGTTAAGTACAGCATGTAGAAGTAGGGAGAGAAGTTATGACGGATATCCCTCCTGGTCAGGTGGTAGAAGTAGGCATGCTCCAAAAACTCCCAGCCATAGAGGTGGTAAAACACAACAGTCAAGGCAGCCAGCACAGATCCAGCAACCGCACCAAAAAGCAACACATCGCGGTTCAGTACCTTCACAAAAAGCCGCCAGGGGTACGCTATTAATGTAAACTTTGGGTTTCTGCTACCCCCTGCCCCTTTCCCGCCACACGCTTTAGTCCGCAGGTGAAGCGCTATGGGCAGCGCGTAGGTCAGCGGGTATATTTTCATGTGTACAGCCAGCCCGTAGCAGACCGCGGCCTTCCCTACGCTGCCCCCCTCCACCAAGTACAGCGTGGCGAGCACCAGTACCGCCACCAGGGCCTCCGCGTTGCCCCGGCTGGAGATGGCCATGGGCAGCGGGTTGAAGAGCCAGGCGGCAGCGCAGCACCCACACGCCTTGCCGGCGGTGGTTCCCCGGCGCCGCAGGGCCCAGTAGGCGATGACAGCAACCGCCAGGTCCGCCGCCACGAAGAGCAGCTTCCCGAAGACCTCGGCGAGGTAGACGTTGGGCATCAGGACCCAGGCCAGCAGCGGGGTGTAGCGGTAGGTGGCCCGTCCGTAGGGCGACCGCCCCTCGGTCACCAGTCGCGCCGCGTCGGTAAACACCCGGTAGTCGACGTCGGTGTACCGCACACGCATGGCGCCGTCCTGGTGTAGCCCGTACAGCACCAGGCCCAGCCTCGCCAGCAGCGCCGCGCACAGCGCCGCTCCCAGCCCCCACCGCCCCGCCGCCATGCCCCTCCCGCAGCGAGCCGCACCGGCGGCGGAGGGGGGGGGGCGCGCAGACCCCGCGTGCCGAGCGCGGGAGAGCGCGTGGTGCGCGGACACGGGCGGCAGGCCGCAACCCTGACTTCCGCCTGCGCGCGTGGGAAACGGGCGGCACGGCGCACGCGCGTGGCCGTTGGGCGGCGGCGCGTGCGCAGTGCGGGCGCTGAAGCCGTAGCCCTTGGGGCTGGTGGGATGAGGCTGGGAGGCGCGGTTACCTCCGTGGCGGGCAGGGATCTGGTCCCGGGTGTTCCGTGCTCTGCCCGCGGCGCGGCCCCGTCGGCTCACGCCCAGAATGAGGGAGGTGTGCGGCGCCGTGGCGCTGCTGTGGTGCTTTGTGTGTGTTCTGGCTGCCCTGCGGCTGACGGGCACCCGAGTCAGGCGTGCAGGGGGCTGCGGTACCGCCAGTGCTCCAGCGGCGGCTGCCGGCGCCTCCTGAGGCAGGGCGTAAGGTGCGGTGTAAAGCTGTAGGGCTCGGTGAGCAGGGCGGCAGCAGCCTCGGTAAGAAGGCGGAGGAAAAATAACATTTACCTTTTGCAAACGGCTGTGTTTTGCCTAGACGTATGAGCTCTTTCTAAAGCACTTAGGCAAGCTTCCTTACCACAGTACCTCTCTTGTTTAACTAGATCAGAATCAGTACCGTGGAAATCAGAGCTTAAGAGTTATTTATAACGAAGAAATTAATTTCACCATACTTTAATCCCCGCCCCCCCCCCCCATGTTTTTTAAATAGTTTTCCTGTCTAACTATTTTATCTCAAATTTGAATTGGGGCCGACTGAAAACCTGATATTTATTACTTACCCATATTATGGTTTTCATATTAGAACCGAGTAGGGCATTTTTAGACATGCTTTATTCATCAAAACCCATGTGTTTGCTTGTTCAGTATCTAATTGGAATTGCATTCTTTCTACTGAATGGTGGTGTTTGGGAACATTTGGGGAGCTGCAGCATTGCTGGTTTACACTGCTTACAGAAAAGTCAGCTTTTTCTCTCTTCGGAGAACTGGGAGCAGATGTTTTTTATTTTTTTTTGGCACAGAAGTCTTGGAGCCTGTCCTAGCTGGTAGGGCATCCCAGGGACAAAAGACGTACCTGTTTGTGTGCACACAGCTATTCATTTTTGTATCTTAAGGCTGTTTTACTCTGCATAATAATACATGGGAGAAGCATAGTAGCTAGCTAGATCAACTGATTCTTGTTTGGTTTTCCTCTTGTTTGTGTAGGTTACCAGATATTTATGTATTATGTACCAAACTGGACACTTCAACAGGAAACTCAAAAAGACTTTGCCAGTAACCCTCCACATTACGTAGTTAAGACCGAAAACTGATGGTTAGGGTATTTTGGGGATAGGGTATGAGGGTGGTTGTTACTCTCTGATAAATAATTGATTACTCATTACTGCTGTTCTACTTTATAACAGGAAAGATTTGTAACATTGTGCTTCCTTCCTTCTTTTATGTATCTTGTTCTATAATGGTTGGGATGCTTTTACAGAAGGTTGTATTACCTTATCCTTTATTGTGCCCAGGGTATCCTCTGAAAATGCTAGAAGTGGAAACTTAATAGAATCACTGGGACTGAGATCACTTGATATTCTGTGGAACTACAAGTCTAAGCAAAAGTATGCATATAGATAGTCTTACATTTTTTGTTTCAGGAAGGTTATTGCTTACGAAGAACTGTCCTTGCCATCTGCCTACTCTTTCCCAGGATTGTTTCAGATGCCTTTGTTGCCTCTTTGGATGGATTATGTTTTATTACTTCAAATCCTTTGGGGAAAGTGTTTATTGTCAGAACAGAATGCTTTGGAGTTTGTTTGCTGAAGTGTCTTAAGTTTAATGATACTGGTTAAATAATACCAGTTTAATAAATAAACAGGAGTTTGCTGGTCTCAAATGTTTTTTGTCTGACAGTCTGTTTTCAGACAAATCTTTTATTCTCATCTGAAGTTAATAGAAGTTATGAACCTGTCCATAGTGACTGTTTTATCTGGATTCTAAAGAGTAAAAGGCAGGTAATTTAATTCTAAAGGCTGTGAAGTTAATAAAAAAGCTACCCTAGCTATTGTTGCATATACTATGTCTGTGTGCATTGCCTGAGCTGTAAAAAGAATTGATTTTCCTTATCAATAATGTAACATCTTGAAAATAAACTTGAAGCTCTTTGGAGAATTAAGGTTTGGCTCAAATGTGAGTTTGGCTTTAGATTTGATACCAGCTTGCTTAATGTGATTTGTCATGTACTGTAGACTGTAATGCAGGAAGGAGAGCCGTCTTATTAAAGTTATAAATCTGTTGTTCCTGTAAAATGCTGGTTTTATTTATACAAGCCACCAGGAGCCACTTTTAGGAAATGCTAGGAGATAAAAATAATAGAACTGCTGGGACTGAAGCTGATTGATTACAGTTCGCATGAAGATAGATGAAACATTAACTAAATAGAAATGCATATATATATATATATGTATATATATACACACACATGTATAAACAGATTTTTTCCATTACCTACCACACCTGCATTTGGTTTACACAGTTTCAAAGATGATACTATCAGAAACTGGAGTCACATCTCTGTGTGCCTCTGCTGTGTAGTCATGATGCGGGGGATGATAAGCCTGATCTCAGATGTTAACTTCTCACATCTTCATCTTCTGTAATAGAGACTGCTTCAGCAGCACCAGGACATACATTCGAGAAACTACCTCACATGGCCTGTTATTGCTTAAGACTTAAAACAGTAGTTAGTAGCAGTGCAGGACAGTGAAGCTAGAACTATTGCTATGCAAAATACTCTTAGGCCTAAAGAAAGTTGCAACTATCTGAAAAACAAGATACAACTGGACGGTGACAGCTGGTGAGTGAGGGGGAGAGTGACAAGTTGGTTCCTTGTCACTCAGGAGCAGTAATGGCGGCCTGTTATGTACTTGCCTTTCAGGTGTTTTCTGTCCACAGTATGGTGAAAGGAGGAGGGATAAGCTGAGGCTGCTTTCATAGATGAACAAAGATGAGCATATGGCTAAAAACTAGAACTGATAGATACAGTAGGGCTAAACATTGGAGGCACTACCTAATTACATTTGAGAAGCTAGAGGAGAATAAGAAGGCTAAGGAAGGGTTATGAAGAAGTTGACAATGAATTAGAAGATGATTCCAGTAGCAGTGCTTTGAAATAACAAGGGGAGACATGGTGGCTGGTAGCAGTGCAGGAAAAAGAGAGAACAAGTGTTGGGTTGCAGTGATGAGAGCCTTACTAATATTCAGGTGGCCTGTGACAATAAACAAGCTTAAATACCTGAAAAGTTACGGAAGAAAGAGCAGTAAGAGGCTTCTTGGGAGGAAGGCAGCTGGAGGATCCTTTCACGTGATGTATTTTGAGCTCATTCTATTAAGGTCTCGGGGTGAGGCAGTTCTCATGCATGTTTGTTCTGCATTAGCTAATTGTTGATGGTTAGCTATAGTTTGAGATAGTGCTGTTGAGTTAGGAAATAAAATTTGATAATTTTTTTAATAAATTGTCTTACTGTGTGCAATATCAGAAGTCTGTATGTGTAAAAGGTGGTAGGAAAGCTGAGTATTTAAAATACTTGGAAGATTTTGGAAAGTAGTTGCTATATGGTCTTCAGACTTCTGAAAAGGGAGGCTGCTGAGCTATGATTTATTAGAGTTCTTTTTTATTTTTCTTGGGTGTTGAATGCATAATGTCTCTGCACAAGAAATACTTCTGCTCAATATATTTGTCAACTGACAGTAAACTTTTGATAATGTGATTAGTACAATATGTTTCTTTCAGCACATGAAATTTGATAGAAAAAGTGCCTAATGCTTATGTTAGATATTTTTGGCATAATAAAATGGATTTGTTTTGCAGATATGATTGATGCCTTTCAAATATTTGTAGTGTGTTGAGCTTCAGATATTATTGGCAAAAGGGAATTATAGTCAAGATTATGTAACGAAATGTTCATTTCTGCTTTAATACTGGAATAAGTAATACAAGAGACTTTGCAAAAAATAGAATGAAAACACGCATTAGAGCTCTTCACAGAAGGAAGTCACTATTATAGATATGCCACCACTATTCCCTTAAGCTTTTTCTGTTAACATGTTTACATAAAACTGCTTGATAAATCTATACCCTTACTCACACATTGTGCTAAAAATCTGTTATTCAGAGGATCTGCCTTGTAAAGGGATTTTTTTTTTTTTTTCACCACATGATAATTTTGCACAATATGCTCTAAGTGGTGTCTGCAGAGTTCTGTTTGCAGTGGTTATGCTGATTTTATGTCAGTGTATTTGGTAAAATGCTCGCCCTTCAGGAAAAATAAGTATTGGATAAAAATGAGCCTGTAGGGAAACCTGTTAAAAATTACTATTTCAGGAAAAAGACTACGGCTGAGAAAATGCATATGGCGGGTTAGTCAGCAAGAATAAGTCTACTGGAGTATGATGCTGGCCTAGGGAGAGATTCAAAAAAACATGGCCTGTTTTGCCTTAAGGCTGCAATGTATCTGAAGTGTGATACTGTAAAAAGAGTTACCCACTTCTAAGTTGGGCAAGAAAGTGCTTTACCCCTTTTCACATTTCTGCTACAGCACTAACTAGTGGGGCGGGCAGCCCAGTGGATTAGGATTCCAGAAGTGTGAGTGTACAACAAAGAAAGGAGTTGAATTTCCTCTGCTTTTTTTTTTTTTTTTGGTCTGTTTACTTCTGCTAACAAAAGAATGGATGGAGAGAACTGCTGAGAGCCCAGGCAGGAGAGAAACTAGAGCCAAATGACAAATTCTGAATTTAAGAGATTGTTGGATGGTGGAGTGTTCTTGGCATACAGCTGATGGTTCTGACCATTGTGCAGAGCCCAGCAACACACTCAGAAAGCATGAGCTTCTGGCATCTATAAACAGCTGAATCTGTGTTAGGCATAGTTTCTTGCCAATTTTTGAAAGTGTAAGGGAATCAGTTGTTATCGAGAACTGGTGAAGTCTCTGTTAGAGAATTCTATAGACGTATATACATATTCATATATTAAAGCTATATATATTATATATATAAATTTG